AACACAGCATTGTGAACTCACACGTGACTTGATAACATGCAGTTATCAAGTGGGAACTTTACAATATCTGCCACAATGTCATCGGTATACTCGGATCTGCAAACTGTGAAAGCTCAGCATCCCACGCTAGACGGACCACTTGGACCACACCACACTTTTCTAATCATACCTGAGTATGCCTCATCTCTGATACTGGTTCAAGGATTATTAAAATAAACTTCCCTCCTCTCTTTTCCACCCCACTCCTATTACCTAGGCTGTTCCTTCTTCTCCAACCCTTCCTGATCCCTATCTAGGTCTAACCTAGGTGAATGGCCAAGGGTGATGGGTTGCATGCAACCTACAGCCCCAGCAAATTCATACGTCAAAGGCCCAACCCTCAATACCTTAGGCTTTTATTTATAGATAGGGTCGCAACTTAGGCAGTCAAATTAGAAGGAGGTTACTATTTGGGTCCTCATCATTTATTAGTGCTCCTAGATAACATGGGAACAATGGAGACAGAATGCACAATGTGAATGGCACAGGTTTGGTGGCAGAGAAGCTGTGATGAGTCTACAAGGAAAGAAATGACAAAAAGCCAACAAAGCACCAGAAATCCAGGGACATGCACAGAGTCTTCCTAGGGTGATATGGGTTGCCCTCTGTATGCTGTGTTGTATATGTTGTATTACCATTGGTTAATAAATAAGCTTTTTTGGCCTATGGCAGGGCAGAATATAGCTAGGTGGAAAATCAAAACAGATACACGGAGAAAGGAGGAAGAGTCAGGGAGATGCCAGCAGCTGCTAGAGAAGCAAGATGTGAGGCAACAAGTCATAAGCCTCGTGGCAAGATAGAGAATAGAAATGGGTTAATTCAAGATGTAAGAGCTAATTAGTAATAAGCCTGAGCTATTGGCCAAACTTTGATAATTAATATAAGCCTCTGAGTATTTAGTCAGGAACCAGAAGGTGGGAGAGAAACCTCCAGTTATACTTGGGGACCCACACAGAAAAAAACCCCCAGCTCTGAAGAATTCTTGGTTGTGATCTTCCAGAACTGAGACAATGACTTCCTGTTGTTGAAGCCACCAAGCACATGTTGTTCTGTTAGTCACTCCCGGAGACTAACTTATCCACCCCCTCCTCCTACCCATCATATCTCCAACCAGGTTCCATCCATTCTTACGTGGGTGCTCCTCTCAAATCCAGTGCTTTATTTCCATTGTGATTTACCATAAATCCAAATATCACCCAGTCTTTAAAGGCCCAGATTAAAAGCCATCTGCTCCAGGATGGCCGATCAGAAGGCTTTAAGGTCAAACTTCAATTTAGATGCTCCTTCTACTGTCAGTTGTGTGTGAGCCTGTTTCACCTCCAATACACAGGACAGGAGTGTGGACAGACACCTCCTATACACAGGACAGGAGTGTGGATAGACACCTCCTATACACAGGACAGGAGTATGGATAAACACCTCCTATACACAGGACAGGAGTGTGGACAGACACCTCCAATACACAGGACAGGAGTGTGGACAGACACCTCTAATACACAGGACAGGACTTCGGACAGACACCTCTAATACACAGGACAGGAGTGTGGACAGACACCTCCTATACACAGGACAGGACTTCGGACAGACACCTCTAATACACAGGACAGGAGTGTGGACAGACACCTCTAATACACAGGACAGGACTTCGGACAGACACCTCTAATACACAGGACAGGACTTCGGACAGACACCTCTAATACACAGGACAGGACTTCGGACAGACACCTCTAATACACAGGACAGGGACAGAGTCACAAAGAAGGAGCTGACTAAATGTAAGAAAGGAAGCTTACTGAAGACACATCATTTACTCTGTGCTTATATACATGTGTGTATGTGCACTTGTGTGTGTGTGAGATTGTGTGTGTACATGTGTGCGTAAATGTGTGCACCTGTGTGCCTGTGTGTGAGACACACATACACACTCTCCCCACTCGCAAATGTCAGGGAGAAAGCAGACATCCCTCCTTTGCAGGAGGATGAATATTGAAACCTCTACTATAGAAATCAAAACAAACAACAAGGCGCCCAAGTCTGAAGGTCCATTCACCTGAATATGCCACTTCTGCAGCCAAGCTTACTTTTTCCCACAGCTTCTGAGCCACAATCATCCTTTATTATTTAAATGAGATTTGTTTGTAACTTTATCTCTGGGATTTACTTATTGTTTTTTGTTTCAAGCAAACACACAAACAAACAAAAAGAAACAGACTCATTTAGAAACTGCCAGAACATGCCAGTTAGCCAGTTAGAGCTTTTCACAGTGGGACCCTGGGGTGTAGACGGGTGAGTGTGTGCTGTCTTCAGGAAGACAGATATTGACGGATCAACCCGCAAACCCTTTGGTGTCTCTTAGCCGATGCAGCCAGGACGAGGCGTCCTTGAACACACTGGGGAGACAACCATTTCATCGAGATGCTAGGATCGATTAGTGCCTGAAATACGAGCAAATGGGTGCCGGGTCAGAACGGAAATGATGAGGGTCAAAGGATGTAGCTTCAGATGATCGCGCTGGGGCCGATGGGGCCGGCCAGGCCGGCTGAGTGTAGGCTGCTCTCCTGCCATGCCAACCCCAAGCAGAGACTGAGGAAATGACGTGCAAAGCGGGATCGCACACTACAGTGAGTGCAGCAGGGCGCCAGAGACCTGCCTTGCTTCCTGGCAATGACACCACAGTGACCTGAGATGGCTAGGGGGTCCCCATCAGCTTCCCGGGGCAGGGCAGGGCAGGGCAGGGTAAGAAGGATGAGGTACTGGGAACATTCCAGATGCAAAAGGGCACAGGTCCCCTAGCAGCTCTGATGTGTCACCAACAGCGGCAGAAGCTGAACCAGGTACTGGAATGTTAAAAGATGGAGGTAACAGAGCTGCTAGGAGGCTCTTGGTCCCCAGCAGCAGAGGCCGCAGATGTCCACACTGGACACTGTCATACAGTCCAATTATTAGCTGTGTGACCTTGAGCCGCTTCCTTACCCTTTCTGATCCCTCGCTTGCTCATTTTCAGGATGAACACCTGGGCCACACTCCCCCAGTGCCTGTTTCACTTTTATCAACTAACGAAGCTCCAATCTTTCCACGAAGCTCTTGTATAACACGCGTAGAAAGCCCGCCTTTCTCTGTGGTTGGCTGAAGCCGCTGTAATCAGAGCTGGGAAGCAGCAGCGTGGACTGACATGAATCTCAGAATAAAAAAGGACAGCCCTCCTCAGTGGCTGAGGGCTAAGATAACACTAGCATGTGGTCTCTTGGGAGCCTGCCCAGAGTGTTCCAGCTGGAAAGTGCCCAGGCATGAACGCAGGTAATCTAAGTGAGGCTTAGGAAAGATGCTTCTGAAAATGCCTGACCTGTGATCTGGGCCACAAGCTTCACAGGGATAGAGAAGGCCGGCGGCTTGGGAGATCTCCACCACTCACAAATAAATTACTCACATTAGGACACGGACACAAATCCATTAGCAACAGAGCTCTGGGACATGTTATTCTAGTTGGGTAGAAGGTACATGGAAGGGTTCCCAGAGTCCAACAAATGCCAGAGTCCAGGGCTTGCACTAGAGATCCCGCAAATAAAGGAAACACCACCAAAAGCATTTGTATTCATACCAGATCACCTCACCGCTCATCCGCTGAAAGATCAGACAAAGCAGGTGAACATCTGAGGTACGGACGGACAGAGCAGACCCTAGATCTGGGGTGCAGCCTCAGCACTGCGAAAGCTTCTCAACTGCCCCTCAACACAGCAAACCCAAGCTGGAAGTCCAGCCACAACCCCAGGTTAGTATCTCACACGTATAAAGTAGGCATACAGAATTCAATGAGGTGGTTCAAGGCAGGCTGTAAGGGCAGTGTTGGTGTGTGTGTGTGTGTGTGTCCCACATGAGAAACCATGACAGTTTCAAGTCATTGAGGTGGTTCAAGGCAGGCTGTAAAGGCAGTATTAAGGTGTGTGTGTGCGTGTGTGTGTGTGTGTGTGTGTGTGTAAATTCCCACATGAGTTTCAAGCTTGCCAGAGAGCAAAACTGAAATGGTCCTTTACAGAAAAAAATCATTTTGTGACGATCTCTAAAACATTATTAAGAGGGGAAAATCAAGTTAGAATAACGGTCATTGAATGGTCCTACAGAAGGTCCTCTGGCAGCTCCGATAAAGTCTCTTCTAATTTGTGAACCCAATTCCACTTTAGAAAGGTCTAGAAAGACAAATGCCACCTTTGAACATGGAGGTTGAGAGAGTGTTGGTCAAGAGCTTCCCCCTTCCCCTGTTGTTTCTGTTACATTTTGATTTTAAAGTACTATATGTACCATACAGTGCTTGAATGACTAAAAGCAAGCTATTGTGTTCGTTTGCATTTTCCAAACAAATAAAAACTATAATTCAATTTTAAAAGGCTTGTCTTCACCCCAGGGCCACGCCCAGTAGGTAAACAATATACACCTGTGCAGGCCACGCCCACCCTCCTCTTTTCACATTCTTAGAACATCCTTCACGACGGTGTTGGAAGGAATGGTTAAAGCCAATACTGAACCCTTTCCAACACCCAGCGGCTCCTCTCAGCCACGCTAGCTAGGCTTGGGCTTGTCGCCACACAGCCCCACCCAGGTATAAGGACCCTTACAGGACGACAAATCTTAATGAACTCCCTGATGGGGGCAGGAGGAAGAGAAAGGAGGCTAGGGTGGGAAGTGAAAGGCGAGTCTCAACCCCAAATCCCAAATCCCAAATCTGCTGGCAATTAATCAAAAGCTGTGAGCACCCTGAGCTGAGCTCAATTGTGCAATACTCCTGCAATGGGCTGAGATTCGGAAGCTGGGTTCCGCGGAAACCCAGACTTTGTCCTACAGAGATTCTTGCCCCGAACATGTCTGCCCGGATTTCGATTGATCATTGCTCCTAAGGTGCCCCAGCCCCGCGCGGCCACTGCAACTTCTACAAGAATGCACGGTCATCGATATTTATAATTAATTACCTTTCTCTTTCACCATGGCAACGGGGTCCTTGGCCGGGAGCACCGAAAGCAACAGGAATGAACTCTAGGCGTGCTAGCAGACGGATCGGCCGCTGCCGAGGCTGCGAGGAGACGCCCCCGGCACCCACAAGCGAAGTCCGGAGCAGCCTTGAGAAGTCCCGCCCCCGCCGCGGCTCCCACGCCCGCCCGCACGACGGCCGCGCCCTGCTCCGGGACGCTGTCGTCTGTACGAAACCACTCGCTCCAGCTGCCGCGGTAGCAAATGCAAAATTCCAGCGTTGATCTCCGGTCACTGACACCACCTTGCATTCCTGACGCCTGCCCGGGAAAATGCTCCGGAGCCCTGGCTCCCCTCCCAGTGTCTGATAAATGATTGCCCAAGGAGGAGGGAGGCCAAGCCACACGCAGCCGGGGACTGTTCCCATAAGTAAACTCGTCAATTGTTAGCTTGTTAGCTTCCTATGACAGCTGCTTTCAGTCCTGATTATGGCCTCTTTCAGGCAAAGTAAGTAAAATTGGTCTTAATAGAAAAATAACGCCGAGGCGCCTCCAAGTTCATTTTCCTCTGAAAAAAGTGAATAATGCCATTTGATTGCACACACACACACACTTTTTTCTGAATTGGATAGGAGAAAGAGAGAGGGGAGTGAGATCAAGAGAGAGAGAGAGACAGAGACAGAGACAGAGACAGAGAGAGAACACCAGTAGAAGGCCTTTCAGGGTCCAGTTCTTTATCCGGGATCAAAATAAAAAGCCAGCCTATCCAGTTGGGGAAGATCCTAACGTCTACTTTTCCTCTGTTTCTTCAGCATTTGCCTCTTAAACTGCGTGACTGTATATTCGTGAGGAGGAACCCTAGTCCCAAGTAAGGGGCACACAGTGTTGGCGGCTATTACAGCCAGGACTGGCCTAACTTGACTTGCGGGGAGGGCCACACAGGCGGGGCGGGCAGCTCCTGGTTTTGGCTTTCTGACCTATCAGGTCACCTGCAGGTCTGCCTGCAGAGGACTTCCTGGTTCACAGAGCTGCGGCTGACCCCTTCAAGCACCTGCTGGCTGGATCCAGCTCCAAGTGTTTCACACAGGACACCTCCGCCAGTGTGGGAGAGGGGAGGCAGATAAGCAAGAGCAAGGCAGACGTTGTAGCGCTCAGGGAGACAGCAGATGGTCAGCCAACACATCTTTCAGGACCAGAACGCACAGCCAGTATTAGACTGTATTTACTGCAAATATTTTAACGTGTTGAGTCTAAGAGAGCCAGGGGAACAGAGAGGAATAGAGCCAACCAACCTGCCTCGGCTTTGACTCAGAGGGTGCCGGCGGCTGAAATGAATTGGAGGGGCTGGGGAGAGGGAGGGGAAGCACCCATGTCTTCACAGTCCCCTTGGGCAGGTCTCGACTGCTGGCTCTCTACTGGGTAAAGGCAGCAGAGCTGGAGTGGTTGGGACACTTCTCCATCCGTGACTCAGGGCTTAACTGTGGATAGCGTGAATGTCTGTCTGCAAGTCTGTCTATGACATGCTTCACCCACGCTACTCCTGCCACCTTGCAGCCTCGCTGGGGCCAGATCATGCTTATTCCATGTCAGGAGCCAGCGGGAATATAAGCACCAAAAGCCTACAAGTGGCTTCTCTGGCCTCCATTCATCCCCACAAGGCAAGCATTAGAGCGGCAGCCGCCCAAAGCGCAGAGGAATGCGGTGGTTCAAGAGCACCAGCGAAGGAGACAAGCCCTTTGCATGCCCTCATTTTTTCATGGTTCATCTGCACGTGTCTGCTTTGCCTACTCTAATCACCCCCAGCCCTCAGCCGTTAAAGAGACGTTGACAAGTAAAATCAACCACAGAGAGCCGAATTAGCTCCGTCGATGAGGCTGGCAGGTAAGCGTGCTGTTACATTTGCTGCGTAAATAGATCGGTATCACACTAAAGCAGGGCTTTCCAAAGATCTCATGTTGTTCAGCTGAGAGCTGAGGAATGGTGGGGCTGAGGACTTGCTTCCTAATCCCCATAACGGCACAATAAATAAATAAAATACATAAAGATGAGAGAAGAGCCTCTGTCCCCTCCCACCCTTACCCTTCCCTCCCTGCTGGACATCACAGTGAATTATTTTGATTTCTAGCTCAAGCCCAGTCATTCATGGGTTAACTTATACTGTAAATGTCACTAGCTCCATCCCTCCTTTAGTCCACGTGACAGTTTTACATTCTGAGATCTGCACTTACTGCACCAAGCTGGTCTTATTGTAAGTTTTGAACACACCTGTACACCTCTGGTGTCCATTCATTTTCATAGCTGCTTTCTCTACAGGCAGATACTACATAGTGGCCCAGACACACACACACACGCACACGCACACACACGCACGTGCGCACATGCACACACGCACACACAGTGTTTTCCATGGAAAGAATTTGTCTGTACTGCAGTCAGCATGAATGAGTCACCGGCAGTTAACGGCTAATAACACCCGTGTGGCAGAGTTCCCTCCCATCAGGCACTGCTACTTTAGGATAATAGTGTCCACTCTGCACTCTCAAGACAACCAGAGGCGATGCTCAAGTGATTTTTGGAATGTGGAAGAATAAAACCATTTTTTTTGGTCTATTTTGCCCCAGGACCAGATGCTTCGAACACAGAAGAGAGTAGAGTATCTGTTTGTTTACACTGGGAGCTGGGGAGGAGAGGGGGGGGAAAAGAAAACTGAAAGCTACAGTTCACGAGAAAGGTTTTTTTTTTTAAATCTGAGTTTCTAAGGATGATTTCCAGAGAAATGATCTCACTGGGATGAGACAACTTCACATACGGTGCTGACCCAAGGGTTTGCGCCGACCCAGGAGTTTGCACTAACCCCGGGGTTTACACTGACCCAGGGGTTTGCGAGCCTTTTCCTCTCAACCCTTCCACCTGACTCTCTGCTACTTTTTCACCAACTCATAAATGAAGCCAAGATTGGCCATCGTGACCAAAGAACAGAGACCATATTGCTGGAGAGAAAAGGCTATAACCCTTCTCCTCCACTCTTGGTAAAAAGTCAAGCGTCCATCCCTGACTAGAAATGTCTAAGCAGAAAGCATTACCTCTGGAGAGAGGCGCTGCGGAAGAGCCCTCTTCACAGCAGAGCCTGCTGCACAGGTTCTTGTAATGCAGGGATGCCAGGACCCCTTCACCGTCCTAGGACCTAAAGTGTCCGGTGACATCTCTCGACAGTCTCTCCAGCAGAATCCAGTAGAAACACACACACACAGAGTGCACACATGCATATATACATACATATACACATACATAGGGTGCACATGTACACACACAGTGTACACACATACACAGGACACACACCACACACATGTACATGTACACACACAGTGTACACGTGCATATACACATACACAGGACACACACACACGGAGAACAAGTCCCTTATTTTCTCTCTACTTTATGCTTACATCTTACACCGCCCCTGTCAGATACTGATGGATGTTGGCTCACGCCAGGTGTCATGCATGCAGCACAGGAAGGACGTACACACAGACTCCTGGAGAGCTTAGGAAGCGGCCGAGAGTCGCTGTGCACAGGCAGTTCTAAGCCCCAGCTGGGAAGTCAGGAGAGGAGATGGATATGGGCTAGCCAGGACCTGTGAGGTACGAATGACCTACCCCAGCAGAGGTCATGGGCCAGAAGGTATCAAGTTGCTGGCTGCTTGTAGGCGGCAGAGGAAGTACAAGCTTAGGTGTGTGGGAGATCACAGAGGGGCTCGCCACGCCATGCCACGCCAAGCTGGACTTTGGAGGTGGTGTGGCTAGAATCTCAAGTCTAGGCTACTTCTTTATTCTGAAATTGAGTTCTAAAGTTCTTGGCTACATCTCAAAGCCCCATGACCGGTTTCCAGCAGTGTGTATCCAGTGTCTATTTCCATATTTAGCAGACTTCCCGCTATGGACTAGATTCCGGGGAGTGCCTGGGTTTGTTAGTTTATTTAAACACCTCTCTGATAACAGGAATAAAAAGATCACATCACACATGACACACATGGCATTTCTAAAAGCACAGATCACGTGGGATTCTTATGGTTCCATGGTGATGGCATTCTATCCATAATGGGGCCACGCACTTGGAGGCAACGTGCGCATGACGATCTATCCTTTGTTTCCACCCTCAAGAGTGTCCTGCAGATTCCTCAGGGACAGATGTCCTGTGAGTGTTTGAAATGCCGACACCTGGCCTTTGCTGCTGGTCTGATGACCCAGATTCCAATGGGGATGAGGCCTGAGCTACAGCCAGCTCCCTTGGTGACCGACGAGCCCACCCCCCACCCAGCCATCCAGCCCACAAAATGGAAAGACAGCCTAAGATTTGTAAACAGCTACATGCATGGTATCACATCTGAAAGAGAGCGTCCGCTCTCCACTGGCCAAAATAACAATCTGTGAGACCACAACCTTGATGAAAACTTCCTGACAGCAATGACTACAAATGCCCCAGTAGTCTGAGACACAACCTGTTACTGGAGTCTGAAGACTCTCTTTTGATAGAGTCTTACAGACCTCAACCTAACTTCAGGCCCACGAGACATTCTCGTGTACCAAAACAGCTTTGACTGACTTGTAAGAGGGCATTTTGAAAAAACAAGCTGCTCTCAGCGTCTCTTTCTCTTTCATGACTCCCAGATAGAAGTCCAGTTTTCAGCCAGAGACAATCAGGTAGGATTGCAATGCCTTCAAGGCAAAGCTCTCTCCGGCTGATAGTTACCAACACCAAGACTAGGACTCTAGTGTTTATTTATGAGAAAGATCATGGGCTCTCTTGGGAAGGGGAAAGGTTATGGCATCTGTGGTCACACAATAATGACGGTACGTAGGAATGCAATATTTGATGGACATGCAGTACTTCAGTCAATGGTCCCTTAAGGCAATAAATACCTGAAAATACGTGCCTCCCTGGAAGAAAAGTTGACTTTTCGTTGGCATCCACAGGCAGTTGGCGCCACTGTCTTTACAGCTGTGGTGGAGAACATGACATCTCATGACTGACCTCAGAGAAGAGGCATTCTCCAAAGGGTGCACCCCTATGTCCAGGAGACTTCCCTCTAGGTTCCACCTTTACCATGTCTGCCACTTACAACTGCACCAATCCGGAGCCCTGCACACGGGAGCCTCAGCTTCACTCCAAATCCAACACTCAAGGGATAAATGTTGACAGGTTACCACATGAAACGCCAAAATTCTAAATAATAGACGGGCTGAAAAATCCAACTCTTAATTTCCTTTTAGTTTTAAAAGGAAATTCAGTCCCTTAGATAAAAAATAAATTTAACGGTTGCTGAAAGTATTTGCCAAGATCCAAACTGAAAATGACCTTGAAGAGAAAGCAGGCTGCAAAGGCCTGGACCAGCGAGGTCGCTTTATGGAGCCTCTTCCGTGTCCTTCCCACACTACAGTTCTTGCCGCTGTTTACAGAGTGCCGATCATATGTCGGCCACTGTTCCAGCCTGGCTACCACCACCAGCTCAT